TCCACAAACAGTGGGCCTTCTGGTTCTTGCTCTTCTCATTGTTCTCTCTTCACCCTCCATTATTATTAAACAAAACTCCTTTGTCTTTCATATTTTTACCATATTCTTTACAATGACTTTAGAGGAGACTATTGCCATGTGGATATATTAGTCTCTTGAAATATGTCTTTTATTTTCACTGCCCTCTAACTTTTCTAGTACCTTTTTCAAAACTCCCTTAGTCACAACTAAAATAATTTAATTTTCAAATAAAATGACAACTAACTAATCCAAAGATCTTGGTGTAATATTTAGTCACTTATTTCTATGAAGATACAAGGAGTGAGACAGATGATAGAGAGAAAGAAATGGAAAGAGAGAGAGAGAAAGAGATTTTCTTTTTCACAGCTATATGGTCTGAGCAAACTGTGCTGATATTTATTTATCCTCTGTTGATCTCAGAAAAGTAACTCATGCCCTTGTGCCTGTGGGGTTAGATTATTATAACACCTTCTAGTCAAGCTTCTGGCAATGACTTGAGAATGAGGAAAACAAAAAATGACACAAAGGAACTGTTTGGCTAAACTAAATACTAATGTGAAACAGAAAGGTGCACATGTTTTAGAAAACCACGACCTATGTTTAGCACAGATGCTTACACAAAGGAGGCATTCAATAAATGTTTACTAAGTTGAATTGAACTGCAATGGTTTCTCACTTTACAGATAACTGCAAAGATTTCTGTAATCCATACTACCCAGGATAAAATGCGCAAGATAATCAACAACTTTTTCCCAAACCCTCAGAAACACAAGTAGATGGACAACCTAGAAAAGAGATGGAGGCAGGAAAGCCTACGGTATATTAAGAGGCAATGAATAGGGTGGGTTTCCTGGAATAGGAAGTCCACGAAGGCAAAGTTATGCTGAAAGCCTTGATAGTATCTATTTATAAATGTATTTTGAAAGTACATAAGCATTTCTAAACTTTAATTTAACCTAATTTGAATTCCCAATATTAAAGGATATATATTGTACTTACTGCCAGAAATGTTATTGATTGTATCTAGAGGATATGTCCAGAGAAATAAATTGTAGTAGGTTTCCAAACTCTTTTATTTGTCTTATGTGTTCTTTAAAAGATTGTAAAAGCAAAGTGTAGTGTTCCTTACCATTTCAATAGAACTGTAGCATTCTCAAAAGATGAAGGAAAGCAGAAGACTGAAATTTACACCCTGTGAGGGGGATTACCTGGAACGGTCTCCAAATAAAAAATGTCCACACTTCTTTTAAATACATCTAAAAGTGAAGACAATTAATCCAGCCTCCAAATGGACTTAGAAGATGATTGGTAATGTGTTATGGTTCTCTAGATTTATTATATTAAACAGAGCAAACACTTTTTATATAAAACATTCTGGAAGTTATTTAAATCATGATAGACTGAAAATAGGTTTTCCAATGGAGCATCACATTTAGCGTTTGAAAAATGCAAATTTATGAGCACTGTGGTCCAAGTAAATTGGAAATTTTATTTTGCAATTATCTAGAAATTTAAGCTAAATTACCTATAAGTCAATATTACTAAAGCAAATCATATTGAACTGATTTCTCCTGACAATTCTGCATCCTGTCCTCATTTTGCCTTCAACGCATGAAGCAGTCAATGAGTTAATTTTCAAAGTGGGTAATGGGTTAACTTCTTACCATTTCAGTTTGGTCAAATGTTCTGTTTTAAATTCTTTCTTTAAACAAAGGGCCATTCTTCTATTCTTTTGTTATTGTACGCTCCTTTTGAATAGTTTCCAGGCATACAATAACTAATCATGAAAAAACAAAACAGTTGCTCTTAACATCCTTTGTATAAAGTTACTAGATGATGGCACTGTTTCATCATTAACAACTCTAATATGTTGTAGCCCACACAGGTATTAAATGTTCCCTTGGCAATAGACATCATTTCACGTGCCCATTATCAATTTTGGACATGAAAAATTGTAGCTTTAGAAGACAGTGCTACTTTTTGTTGGGAACATTTCCATGCCACAAAAGGGACAGAAGCCATGAGAATAACTGGAAATACAGTACTAATGGAGTTTTATAGTGCAACTTTAATGATATTTAAACATATATTCATCCCAGGACATTACTTAGAAATATTTTTGGAAATGCTTCTTTGGGAACTTTAATTATCATCAATGTATAAAAATAAATAACAGAATTTCTGTACAGATGGCATGATTGGTAATATTTTTCAGAAAAAAATAGTTTTTAAAACATCAATATCTTACATCTTAATATTCCATCTGAAAAAGAAACAAAATCTGTTTGCAGTGCATTACACTCAAAGTCTAAGTTATTTCTTAATTTGAGTTAAGTCCCAAAGAGCACCACTCTTTTAAAAATAATAGTAATAATAAAGCAGCCTTCTGCCAGGTAAGGACACAGCAAAAAGATGGCTGTCTATGAACCAGGAAGCGGACCCTCTCCAGACATCAAATATGTCAGTGCCTAAGTCTTGATCTTAGATTTCCCAGTCTCCAGTACTGTGAGGAAAAAAAATCTGTTTATAAGCCCCTCAAAAAAGTAAATAAAAAAATACACAGTAGTGTGCTTAATAGGCACCCTCTGGATTTTGTCTCTGATACAGTTGAAGATTCACCTGCTGACTTTGCTTACAGCAACAGAACTGCCAAAATATCAGATAAGGAAGTTGGCCCAGATTTTTTTTGGATTTTTTAAGATCTAATTATTTATTTAAATATCCTTTCTGGCATCTGAGTCTCTTATATCAGCCCATCCAGTCTACTTAATAAGAAACATACAGATTTAAAACATTAACTGATAAACAACTGTACAAGAAATTCCTTCAAGCAGCAATAACAAACTAAAAAAAAAATTCTATATAAATATGCAAAATATGTGTTCCTTCCATCTTCCTTCATTCTCCTCCCACCCAAACTTAGTACCATGTTTGGTTTTATTAGCGTATTTGCTGCCCAGTATAGAAAACCCCTAACACACTCACAAATGCAAAATATTTTTAAAATAATAATACTAAAAATGGCAAATGTGCTATGATTTACTATAGTCACCATCATGTAACAATGCGCTGTATATTGCAAAATTGCTAAAAGAGTAGATCTTAAATGTTTTCACAACCACAAAAAATAAGTATGTGAGGTAATGGATTTGTTAATTAGCTTGATTTAACCATTCCACAATGCAGACATATAGCAGAACATCACATTGTGCTCCATAAATACATATTCTAAGTATTTTCTACATAGTAACTCATCTTAGTGGATAGTATGCTACTGAACACAAGGCGCTTAGGTTCCTTTTCCTAGTTCACCTAACCTTGGTGACACTAATGGAAGGTGGGCAATGTTTATAAAGAAATAATTCACTTTGATTACAGTGGATAAAGGTTCTGAACTCCGAGCTATCCTCGACACAGAATGGTAATGAGAAAAACTACCTTCCTTTGTCTATTATAATTTGCCATCTTCTTTTCCGATTATAAAGACTTTTATTTCCTCTTCATTCGGATGCAGAAGTTGCAATAGAGGCTGGACAGCCATTCTTAGACTTAACTCCTCCCTCGCCACCAGGGATATAATTAATATATGACAAATAGGGGGGTTGGCTTTTGAGTTTTTTTTTTTTCCTTCTTTTTCCTTTTCTCTTTCCTTTCTACTTCTTTTGCTTGTATACGGTCTCCACTTTTTCCCTTCCCTTCAGAATATTGACAAGTTTTATTCAACGTATTCCCCAAAGCTCCTTTCCCCAGCTCAGATCTTTTGTACCAGGGCAGAGTTAAGATTACCTAAGGCACTCCACGAAACCCTTAACAGAGGCGGTGGCTTACGAAGGGGGTTCCCCTAGATCAGCTTCCAAGAGCACATATGCCAGTCCTACCCTGCTTCCTCTCCTCTGTGGGCACCCACACCCCAGGCCTTCTAGCGCGCTACATTGCCCAAACTACACAACTCCCACTCCACCGCAGCAAAGCTTTCTTGGGGAACAACACAACACAGCACCCACTCCCCTCTCCCTGGAAACAGCGCTAACCACGCCGGCGGCCCCTCCCCAAAGTGCGTCTCTCGCATCGTTTGGCCGGAATGCACCGGGACCCCCGGGCTCCCGCCGAGCACCTGCGAGCTCGGACTCCAAAGCGGGGATCAGGCGAAGGAAGGCGGAACCCAGGGCAATCTCCAAATGCCCGGGCGGGTCCAGACTGCTGGTAAACTGGGCCACGTCCACTCAACACCACACAACCCTCCAGCCCGCAGCCAGGCCCACTGCACTTCGGGATTCCAAGTTTCGATGCTCCCTGCAAGGTGGGGGCCTCCGGGCAGCGGGGAAGGAAAGGTTGTGGGCGGGGGCAGCCGCAGCGCCCAACCCGCTTGCCACGCCGTCCTTCCAGAACTAAGCACACGCTCCCTGGGATTTGTTTTCTGCTCGGAGAGAGGGGAAGAGGGAGGATGGGAGGGAGTAGGGTGTGGCGACTCGTGGAGGGAAGGGGTAAGGGAGAGTTGAAGCCGCATCTCTGCCTGGACGAGCGGGGTCCTGGGGCGGCCGGCCTGCCAGCCGCTTTGTTGTCAGCGTCTCTGGTCGCTGGGGCGCAAGCTGCGCGCAAACACGCCCCCCAAAGTCATCACAACCTGTCAAACGGCCCTAAAGCCCCAACCCCCGCCCCTCCCGACAGGAGGGAGAAACTTGTACCTAGGCGCGCCAGCAGCCAGGATGCTGCGGTTTGCCAATAAGGACAATTCTTAAAGCCGAAATAATAATGAAATAAGAAGCTCAACAGCATTTTGTCTTCCGAACCTTTGGAAAAATTAAATTGCTGTTTTCTACGAGTCCGCGAATATTTACAGTCGCCCGCGGCGAAGCGGGGGCGGGGTTGGTGCTCCGGGTAGGGAGCGCGAGGGAGGCGCACGGCAGAGCAGCGCATAGGGGGCCCGACCCGGGCCCGGGTCCCCGACGCCATTTGCGGGGCAGCTGCGCCCGCCTTACCTGTGGATGCAGTTTCCATGGCAACGGGCGGCGGCCGGGCGGGGCCCGAGCCCAGTTCCCCGGGCGCCGCTTCCCCGGCCCCGGCGCCCAACCCCCGGCCCGGCTCCCCCGCCTGCATCGCCGACTTGGCTCCCGTCGGCGTCACAGCTTCGTCCTCCCCCTCCCCCCGGTCCCTGAAGCACTGGGACCCGGGGCTGGCCCGCGGCAGCAGCTCGTCTTGGGGATCCGGCGGCGCGGCCATGGCTGGCGGTCCCCCGGCGCGGCGACGGCGGCTGGGCTCGGCCGAGGAGCGGTGGCTGCGGGCGGGCGGGCGCTCGCTGCTGCTGTCCCCGCCGGGACTCGGGGCTCGGGGAGGATGCGGTGTCTCCGCGCCGCCGCCGCCGCCGCTGCAACTCAGGCCGAGCCGCTGCCTGCCGCTCTTCCCGCTTCAGCTCCTCCTCCTCCCCCCTCCTCTTCCTCCGGGCCCCGCGGCCGCGGCTGCTGCGCTCCTCCTCCCACTCCAGTCGCCGCCGCTGCTTCGCTACTCCCGAGCCTGCTATTACGCAGGTGAAAATGGCCTGCCTCGTCCGAGTCCTCCTCGCGCACGTCAGCCCCCGCCCGCCCTGCTAATGGCAGGCCCAGATTAGGGGATGTGCCAGATCCACTCGAATCTTCCCCTCGTTTGGGGAGGAGTAAAAAGGGAGGGTCACAGGTAGAAGCAGCCCCCAGCTGCAGCGTGACTGATTAGGCAAGTCGCCTTCCCCACTCAAGAAGTTAAGCCCCGACTGATGTCCTGGGTCCTGAGGCGAAGTGGAGAGCTAGAGACCTCAGGGCCACAGTTCTGAGAGTGACCAGTATCCGCTGGGGAGGAGACATAGGTCTTGAGCGCGAAGGGGGTGGAGATGGGTGTTAGCGGCAGATGGAGACACGGGGAACCTGCAACCCCGAGGTTAAATCCTGCATCCTTAAAGCGCTGTTTCCAGGATATGGCTGAAAACAGAAGTACAGGAACGAGCTACCGGGAGAGCCTCCAAAAAAGCTTAACAGACCTCATCCCAACCAGCCCTGAGGGCAAATAGGATGTCAACAGGCAGGATAACAGCAGCTACATTCCCTTTCAGGAACACTGAGCCAAAGCCATACAAATCACGAGCTGTCTGTGCAGAGTCTATTTTATTGGAGAAGTTGGACACTCCAGGAAGCATGCTTTTTTTTTTCTTTACAGCTCTTCTTGGTAAGATGGAAGATATTTAACAAATAAACCAAAACTCAGAGGAGGAAGGTGACTTGCCTTATAATGTGTTATTCCCGCATGTAGACTCATCTTTTCAAACAAGGCCTGTGCTTTATTGGTTTCTAAATTGTTTATAGAATGATGTGCCTTGAAAAACAAAGATTCAGTACAACATACAAAGTGGGAGAATAGGCTTATCTGCTGTTCCTTCTCTAGAAAAGGTGGATATGGGTGGTACACACAGCACACTGGGGCTTTGTGGGACTCTAAGCCACCATATGCATATTGAGGACATCATAACCTGTCCATTTGTACATCCACAGGCCAACTTGAGCACCATTCAGGTGCTCCTCAAAAATGCTACAACTAAAAAGCCCAGATTCTGCCTAATCTTTTGCTCTGCTCATGCACCGATGTTCAAAAAGATGACAATAAAGTAGAGAAAATGTGTTTACTAAATAGACAATACATATGGTCTCCTAACGACAAATCCCCCTGGGGATCTGATGTTCACCAGATTTTTACATTATTGATATAATGTAAAAACGATCTGTTGTGGTGGACATGTTCATTATTTTTTGATTGTGATGATAACTTCACAGGTGTATACCTATGTAAAAACTTATCAGATTGTTCACTGTAAATATGCAAATATATGCATGTCAATTATACCTCAATAAAGCTATAAACAAATTACCCCCTCCAGCAACAACAACAAAATTCTTAGTTATCATGAATCATCATGGTTTTTTAAATCTTTCCATGGGAAAACAAGGGCCTGTTTAACAAATCTTTACGGTGAAAAGCTTATTCCAGTGCCGTCTTTCATGGAGCTTAATCCTGTCATGTAATCAGGGGACACTTGTGAGCTGTTTTCAAATCTATTGTTTAGTATGCCCTAAGGCATCAGAAATACCAGATAGGAATTTCTCACAGTTGTATTATTGATAACAGGCCAAGGACACAGAAAACTCTAATAATACAACATTAAGTGGTTACTGATGGGTACTGATATTTAAGAATTGTTATGGTAAGGGCATTACATACAAAATAATATGGAGTGTGTTATTTTGGTTCTCTGAGAAACACAAATGAAAGTCATCATTAAAACCTGGAATAACTACACAAGCCTCTTCACTTCCTAATGATTCCATAGATAGGAAGTTTGGGAGTACGGTTCTAATTACTTTCCATATATCATCAGATACTAATCAATACTGTCATTGAGAATGTGTGGAGGAAATAGCCAATTAAGTATATTTAGATTTTACTTATTAAAGGAAATTGACAATTCCATTTTGATAAATTGTTCTAATTTACTCTGCTAAAAAGAGGTACGCATTATGTTTCAATGTTAGCAATTTTCATAACTATATTCATTTATTAGATTCCACCTTTGGATGTATACAAATTACCTATTTGGAGGAAGAAATTTTCAGGTTTATGCTATGGTTTGAAATGACCCATGTTTATTAGTATTATTTGTTTTACATTTGCACCCCTCTGAACTGACAAAGCTTATTTAATTTGAAGATTTATGGGCATAACACACAGTCAACAATGGAATTCCAGGACTTGCATAGTTGCTCTAAATTATGAATTGCTCTAAAATGCTTTTGAGACACAGAAGCTGGGGTTGTCACCTCTAAAGGATTCTTAGCAAGAAGAGTTGAGACAAAAGAACTGTCAGGTTTTGTCTTCAGCTTTTGTTTTTTGGAAAAGAAGTTCTGTTCATGGTTTCAAAAGAAGGAATGTGGTAAGGAGCATTTATTTAACACTAGCTTCTTAACTTAGACTAAACCTTACATCATGGGGAACGGTGGTATGGGGACATGCAGGAAGAACACCACCAGTAACAAATTTTAACCAAGATGAAATTCTTTCCAGCCTCAATATTAAAGTTACTTAATATCTCTACATCTCAGATTCCTCAACTGTAACCTGTAGATTTTAATAGTATGTTCTGCATAGGCTTTAGTGGAGCACTAAATGGGTTGACATATGTAAAGTATCTCATTAATTAAGATGATAACAGCACATGCCAAATTATTTCCAGGAAATGGTGCCTAATGCTAAAAGCTCTGCCTGGGTATTTATATTCATACAGACCAAAGAGTCAACAGTAACTATTCCAGGCACTTACAACAAATTAGATGAGGAATGTTTTCCTATATTGAGTGACTATTAGGCTGTTTCTACTTGTAATTTCTATATTCTGAAAGGTAAACCTTATATAAAGACAAATACACTTCAAAGGTTCTTTTAAGTAGTTGGATCAAAAATACACACACACACACACACATACACACACACACAAACACGCTTCAACTTGGAATAAACTATACTAGGAATAGAGAAAATAGGGTTCCTTACCGATTACTAATGCTTAGAGAGCTGTGTTGAGAAAGAATCTTGGGCCATACTCAGATTTCATGGGAGTGTCTAGAAGCATAAGCAATAGCTACATTCAGGCAAGTGAAGGGGGCAGGCAACACACGCCACGTATTTGCCTTTTCTGACTTACATTTAAGCTTATCAGCACCCAAGCCAAAGCCTTATTTCTGAATCTTTTTAGGACAGAATACAACTGTGGATTGCAACTCTCACTGACTGAGCAAGGTAAGAGTTTGACTCAAGATGAGACTTAACTCTGGTGCCTCAAATTTCTCTGAAATCATTGTGTATAGGGTTGGTTCAGGGCTTAATTTGTCTATGTAGCATCCAGATCATTTTGCAACATAGTTGTCACCTTTTTACAATGTGTGGAAGCTCTTGAAGTTGATAGGGAAAACAGTTCTCCATTTCCGACTGCAGTGAAAGAATATTTAAATTGAAACTAATGTATAGAGGCTACATTCTGGTACACGAGACAGCTGTGTTTTCTCCAGGACATCACTGCAGCACTCACAAATGCCACACAACGCATTCAAAACACACCAGGTTCCTTCTGTCCACAGGGAGTGGCTGCTGTTACTTAATCTGCCATCTGAGGAAATAAAGCATAGATACTTCTAATGTCTTCCAGTAGGAATGGGAAGAGGAGAGCTGATCACTTTTCACTGAACCTAGTTTCTTTTTTCTTTACTTAATTTGTACATTTAAGTAAAACTGCAAAGATTTTTTTATTTCTTTGGGCAAAAATATGAATTAGGAGATCTGTAACTTGAATTCTCCATGCTTTGGATGCACAATAAAAATACCTTTTAAGATATTCTGAGCTTGAGAAGCAAACCAAAATATACATGATAGAAATAAATTGCCTTTGAGCAGCTCTTTGCAGTTTACAAAATGTATACACATATGGATCTCATTTAATACACGCACACTTTTAATTTTCACTTTTGTGAAAGATATGGTATCTTGTCATACTTTTAATTTTTTATTTATTTGATGATCAATGAATAGGAGCTTTTTCATGAGCTTCTTGTAAATTTGTATTTCTTTTTAAATAATAGTTTTATTGAAATTTAACTCATGCATTATACAATTTAAAGTGAATAATTCAATGATTTTCTGTATATTCACAGACTCGCACAATCATAACCACAATTTTCAAACATTTTCATCACTCCAAAAAGAAATCCCATACCTATTGGCAATCACTCCCCCAACCCACAACTCTAAGTCCAGTCCTCAGCAATCATTAATCTACTTTCTGTCTCCATATATGTGCCTCTTTTGGACATTTTATATATAATAAATGGGAATCATAGAATATATGGACTTTTGTTACTGGTTTCTTTAACTTATAATGTTTTAAAGGTTCATCTATGCATGTATCAGTATTTCATTCCTCTTTATTGATGAATAATAATCCCTTGTATGGATATACCACGGTATGTGTATCCATTCATCAGGTGATGGACATTTAGATTGCTTTCAATTTGGGACTATTACAAATAATGCTTCTGTGAATGTTTGTATACATAGTTTTTTGTGAGCATGTTTTCATTTCTCTTGGGCATAAACCCAGGACTAGAATTGCTGGGTCATATGGAGACTGTGTGTTTGACGTTTGAGGAAGTGCC